CTGTCTCATTACATTTTCTCACTTAATCGCTTATTCTTGATAATGAATATTTTCTTTTTATGCGAAACTATATATGAAAACACCTAAAGTCAAGTTTATCTTGAATTTTTTTATAGGAATGTCATTGTTGAGCCTGGTGCACCAGCTATGGGCGCAAAAAGTTTATGCATCCCATTCGCTTGTGATTTCAATCCAACTTTGGTATGTGGTAGTCCACTGCCTGATACACCATGTTTCAATCGTCCACATTGTTCACGTAAAGCAATGTATTATACATTGTTTGGCAGAAGTTATTAAGAAGAACTCTCATAATTTGTTTGTGTGTATAATGTAAAATAAGAACCAATTTTTATTTACAATGAAAAGCAATGATTTTTTTTGTTTTTATCTTGACAAATAAAGTCATTTTGGATCTCAATACTTTTTCTTTGTTTGTTTGTGTATGAGCTTCAATCTTTAATTTTCAGGAAATTCGGTGTAGATTTGTTTAAGCGTAGGGTAGTTTGAGTCGTTGTGGTGGTGTTTCGTTCTCTGAGCTACAAGTTTTCTCCACCATCTCAGTTTGAATCGTAACAGTACAACATTTTATTCATATTTTTTTTACATTAGAAGTTACAATGTTATGCTTTCAACAACAACAAAAAAGTCAACCACATTGAAGGTTTCTCCATAATTTCACTTCGCTGTTCTTAGGACAAATTACATATTGACATGTGTGTTACGTGTGTACGTAAACACGTCATTTTAATATGCTTGAACTATTACGAGTTTACCTTAGTCAGTAAACGAGAGCGAGGATTGGGGATCCAGCGATACGAAATGTTATTCTAATCCAGCCGTCCCAAACCCCCAGTGAGTTAGAAAAGAAGACTTGATATGAAGTAGAACATGTATTCTACAGGCATCCAGAAAGTACGAGGTCCGAGTCGACGAGAGATTTATGATCCCGTACTAGGTATCCGGGTCGGCGTCATAAAACATTACAGATAATGCGCATTTATACAATTAGGTCGAACAGGAAACAACATTGAAGTCTGTGACATTGAAAGTTAGGACGACCAATAGAATTAGACTCTTAAGATATTGGATGAATATCCTAACAATATATATTGGAAGACATGGTAGATATGCATTGACTAAGAGTGGTGGATAGATGAATGCATGATAATAATAATAATAATAGTCGGTTGTTATATATGCTTATTAAAGCGGACTGATACCTGAAATACAGTGGTTAATGACTCCTGCGATGAAGAGAGGTGGATGGAAAAATGCTCATATTAGGTTACTTCTAGAAACGATTCAACTAGTCCATAGCTAAACTTCAATTTCACTTCATCTAGATATATAGTTAACTGTGCAACAACTACCTAAGCCTTTCGTTTATTTTATTAGTCTCCAATAAATTTAAAACGGGTTTAGTCAGTAGTAATTTGTCTTTGGCAGTTTCAAGGATTGTGGCTAAGAATTACTAGTTCATGGCGGCGAAGAAGATTTCGTTGTAGTTTTGTATTAGATTCTTCATGAAGAGAAGTTTATTTTTGACTGGCCTGTATCTTTTATTAGGTACTATTCATATTTATTGTACAACTTCTATTGCATCACAGTATTATTATTCACTTTCTGTGGAGAATGTTTGATGTCTTATTTTAGAAGAATTTATATGTGTTATAAGTACTATATGAAGTTTAAGAATCTAAACATTAGTTTTTCACGTGACCTAAAGACAGCATTCAGTTCAATTTGCAGAGTGGTTTTAGGTGCCTGGTTTCGAAAAGCGGTTTGGGAAAATATACTATTTTACCGTATGCATTCTACTCAATCTGATAAAATAATGCAATGTCTTTCTTCATATATAGCGATACATACGGAAGATATCTATTCTCATTATTATTGTTCATAGAGTTAATCGGTTAACTGTAAATATCCTAGGATTTGTATTATGCCTGGAGTCCTTCTAGTTGATTTAGAGAAGAGTTATACTGGGCGAAGATATTAACTATATGCAAAATCACTAGGAACTTTTATCGAGGGTCTGGAAATGCAAGGTGCATAATCCGCTGTTTCGAAATGTTCCATGACTGGTGTGTGCCAACACGTACTTTGTAAATAAGGAATGTAAACTTTATTTTTTACAAAGTTGCGGTATACTTATTGAGCTGGTCATCAACGAAACTACAGCACAAATACAAAAGGCGTGTTCACTACTATTATTCTCATAAGCATGTCTCCTATTCTACTGAATAGCGTTCTCCGAAAACCTAAAGTTTAAGAGCATGCATTACTATATATACCCTTTGTATAAATCATTTTAAGGATAATATAAGCTTTCTGTTTGATATTCATGACAAAATGAAATAATAGCAATATTACTAACTGAATAGAGAGACTCGGTACAACGTAGCTTCAATTAGTCTGTGGTATAAATACAGTGTATTCTGGGTGTACTTATTACTGCCGTTTTCATTTGTTTCCCATAGTTCTCTTCCTGTCATACATTTCTTAAACCAGTTGCAACCTAAAACCCGCCACATATTTGCGTTTGTACACATTTGAAATCATCAATCAATCATTGTTAGACCATCATTAGAAACCTGGAAGCACTGGACGGCCGTTTCGTCCTGCTTTGGGACTCATCAGCAGTACGCCTCCACGACTCCTGTTCCTCGCAGGATTCGAACCCGGGACCTTCGGTATTGTGCGCGAACGCCTAACCATCGGACCACTGTGCATTGGTTTACTTTATTACACTGCCTCAGTACAACGAGATTCTACAGTAGTGTATAAGTTGTAACATAATCAGTATTAGTCTAAGAGATTCAATGGTTTGAGTACGAAATATTCATGGAAATTAGAGCAACCAAAGCGCACCATGCTTATACAGTGTTAAGTTTTACATTGTTTCCTTAATTGGCTTACACTTAACAAAATAATAACTAAAAGTAATTTCAACGTGAATTCACCGGAATGAAAAGTTTTATTTACATTTTATAAACAACAAAAAAAAACGGTATCAGAAAATAGTTGAATAATAATAATAGAAACGTTTCTTTGTCATTAAATTATTAACAGCCAAAATTTGATCAAACATGTGTTTTTTTAAAAAAAAATTTTATTTCAATGTCATGTTAAAAATACGTTCGGCTTTTTTGAAACTTCTTGTTTTATAACCATTTGTAATGAATGCAGATAGTGTATCATTGATAATGATATCTTTATTATTATTGGTTGTTTGTATATTAGTCGACATGGATGCATTTATTGTATGAAGTACAGCTTCGGATAAACGATTATTCAATCGACTTTTTAATGAATCTATATTCTATAGAACAAAAAAACCAGAAAAATGAGTTAATAAAAGTAATCATTGCATTACGGTTGTGCCATTGAAGATTGTTAAGTTACGCATTTTTGAAATCATGAATCACAATCAAAGTTAGACCACCATTAGAAATGTGGACACACTGAAAGACGGTTGGATGCGCACTACTGATGAGTCCCATACCAGGACGAAATTACTTGTGTTCACACTAGTGATTAGTTTCGTGAGGAATCTTCTCCGAGTTCTTGTGGAAATTTCAACCAGTAACTGCCGAAGATAGAGTTCCATACCAGGAAGAAATTACCTATGTTCACTAGTGACTATTTTCGAGTTCTAGTGGGAAGTCATAGTCAGTGAAGTTCGACCAGTTCGGGTGTAGACAGTAACTGCCGAAGACTGTATATGAGGCTGCGCAACTCCGTGAATTGATCAAAGTTAGATATTAACACCGACAGATACCAGCTCAATGGTCCAGAGGTTAGGCGTTCGCGCACACGACCGAACATCCTGGGTTCGAATCCTGCGGGATGTAGGAGTCGTGGGTGCGCAGTGCTGATGAGTCCCATTCCAGGACGAAACGGCCGTCTTTCAGTGCTTCCACGTTCCTAATGGTGGTCTAACTTTGATCGATTCATAATTCCAAAAAATGATAATGTTAGAAAAATAACTTATGAAATAGCGCTTTATACGTAGGTTTTTTTCTATCATACACTATTTCAGTCTGTGTATACTAGTGATTAATATTTCACAGATTTTGATAGAACAGTGAGAAGACGTAGTGTTGATCTGAAACAATGTGATGTATTTGCTTTATACATTTCGAACAATTTGGTCGCACAGACATATTTGTCAAGGCGTTTTATATGAAGATTAATAAAAGTTCAAACAGACATAAAATGATAATTGTAAATGAAGGAGAGAGAAAATTACCGTAATTTGGAAAGAATTAGAAAGGGTAGGAAATTGTCATATTACCCTAGGCCATACAATGGCTTAAAGATTACCAGAGTAAATTCAAGGTTATGACAAATTGTTTCTGTACACATAAGGGGGGCTTTAATATACAACCAACCAAGGCTTCCTAAAACCTCAAAATTCGTCCTTCAATGTTTCTACACAATGTTTTGAAGGCTGTCTTGACGTCAAACTTATGCTCTAACTCAATTGTGTTTTGCGATCGATGAACATGGTTTTCTGTTCCCCACGTCCATCGGCTCATCTGAAATTAACTGAAGCCACTTAGGTACATTTTGCATAACCCTTGATTGCAAAGTCCGATTACTCTTCCCTATGTATGTGTGTGCACACAAACATGATAATTGATAAATGCGATGGATGTGATGATATTAAGAAATCTATCCGGAAACCTAGAAACTTACTGCTTAACAAATCGGCTAAACTTGAAAACATATAGCTAATATTTTCTATGAAACCTGAAATTTTCTAAAGTTTTATGAAATGTACACCAGCCAAGATAATCGGAATGTAAGATTAACTACTCGTGTAGTACTATCTTTGGTTGTAATTGGTTGACAACCACCAGTAAATGTCTTTCAGTAACATAGATTGTATTCAGATTACAACCGAAACTTATCTCTAAATTATAAAATATAACTATAAATTCTACACTGTAAATTTTCATTGACAAATAGATAATCGAAATTTCAAAAGAAATATTGAACAGCCATTATGGATTAGAATGTTATAAACTAAATCATAGTTTATTTAGCTGATATTTTGATATAATTCAACTATTATTGATTTTATCTGATCTGTATAGATGAGATATAGTGTTCTGAACGAACTCTAATTATCCGCGATGTTCAATACTGTTGTTACTGTATAAATTTGATGGTTTTTATTATTGAGTCTATGAGGGTATAATGTAAATATTTAAATGAGGTGCGCTGCGAGGATTTTAGCATTTATTAAGTTAAGTGTATCATATCCAGCATATTCGGTTATGTTTCCATTAATTTAGTTAGTAAGTACTGAATATTTGAGAGTGAATTTCATCTAAAGCATCTGTGGTTATCCGTTGTAACTGTCTACTATGAACATGTGTCAATGTAGTACAGTAACAAAGGGAAAGTTAAAGCTTAAAAATGAAATGTGTAATGAAGATCACAATGGCGGTAAATATCGAATATGTTGCAAATTAACGTCCGATCTGCATTACGGGGTTGTGAAGATTGTTAAGGTACACATTTTTGAAACCATGAATCGATTAATCTTAGACCACCATTATAAACCTGGAAACACTGCAAGACGACCGCTTCGTCCTGGTATAGGACTCGTCAGTGGCAGCGCGCATCCACGACTCCTGCACCTCGTAGGATTCGAACCCAGGACCTTCGGTATTGTGCGCGAACGCCTAACCATCGGACCACTGGGTCGGCATCTAACGGTGTTAATGTCTAACTTGATCAATTCACGGAGTTGTGCAACCTCATACACAGTCTTCGGTAGTTACTGTCTACACCAAAACAGGATTGAACTTCACTGGTCATAATGGGCACTGCTGATGAATAGTCCCATACCAGGACAAAACGGCCGTTTTTCAGTGTTTCCAGGTTTCTAATGTTGGTCTAACATTGATCGATTCATGGTTTCAAAAATGTGTAACATCCGATCATCATCAGTAAATGCTTTCAACACCAAAAATGTGAACAAACGATTAAAAAAGAAGGGCTTCAAGAGCGATCTAAACTCCAATCAAAACATTGAAATAATAGCGGGAATTTGTACCTTAGTGATGAGTATCGGTTGTTCACTAGTTGATTTAATTTTTGAGCTTTCATTGTTATATAGGCTAGTCTTTTACAGAACTGATTAACTTATCTATAACCAGTAATAAAAGTTCCATAATTGAAAAAACCATTTTGTGGAAAGATCATAATCATAATAATAATAATACTGAGATTAAATTAGTTACAAAATTTTTATTGTATCAACAACATTTTACTCACTTTATTCATCATACTTAAATTTGTATTCGTCAAATCCATTGAACTTTTTTTATTCAATAAATAATCATCATCATTTATTCGATTAGTAGTTGATAATAATTCTTCTATACAAGATGTTGAAGGAAAAAAATTCGGTATAAACATTGTTGTCGATTTCACATCATCCATTGATAATTGTTGTTCTACAACACTTGATTGACTAATAGTTTCAATGAAATCATTGTCTTTATTTGACAATTTTAATGAGTGCTTTGAATATTCAACACTATCGTTGTCGTCGCCATCATCATCATCATGATCAGCAGCAGCAGCAGCAATGTCCAATTGAAGATTTTCTTCTTCTTCTTCTGCTCTTTGGTCTTTTTCATTGTCTTGTATGTTTTTGTTTATTTTCTGATTGTTTGATCTATGGGGAAAGTAGAAAGTAACAGTTGGACGCTTTTAGAAATCAATTTTTTATTATTCAAACTGGTATACACGTATAGATAGTATAGTTTATTGTAAATGTAATGAATATCAGAATGAGTTATCTAATATTCCCTAAGTATCAGTAAATCAATTTAATAATAATGGAATATAATTAATACTTTTATAACTACGGAACATCATACAATGGTCATTATTGTAATGTTGGCAAAGAAGGATATTTGAAATCCATGAATCGATCGATGTTAGACTACTATTAGAAACCTGGAAGCACTGTTAGACGACCGTTTCGTCCTGGTATGAGACTCATCAGCAGTGCACATCCACGACTACTGAACCTCGCAGGATTCAAACGAAGTTAGACATTAAACACCGTTGGATGTCGGCTCGGTGGTCCAGAGATTAGGCTTTCGCGTGTAAGATCGAAGGTCCTAGGTTCGAATCCTGTGAAATGCAGGAATAGTGCAAGCGCACTGCTGATGAGTCCCATACTAGGACGAAACGGCCGTCTTACAGTGCTTCCAGGTTTCTAATGATGGTCTACAATTGATCGATTCGTGATTTCAAATGTCTACCTTAACAATCTTCACAACCCCATAATGAAATAAGGACATGTGCATCGATCGAGTGTATCATACTTCAAATTAGGAGTAAATCAAGCGTGTATAATTCCAAAAAGAATAAAAAAAAGTATGAAACACCACTTTAGTTGAAGTTGTCAAATCATATAAAGAATGACTGTCTGTTTACCACTCAAAGATAGTTGAAAATGCATTGACTAATACCTTCTTAATTATAGATCAAAATTACCGTGCATTGTAAACTTGCAGGTAAACTTCTAAACTATTCAGTATGGTTTATACAAACAACCAATGCATTTGGAGAATGAGTTAGAAAAGATTTAACATGATCGATTTCGTGTTTATTCTCTTATATACTATTGTGGTGGCCACTGTCTCACCAGTAGTTCTGTGGCGGTCTGTGTTCGACAATATTCTTACATTTCGTATACTACTCGTCCAGGCAACCGTTACTAGATAATACCCAACAGTTTATAAATCAAAAGACAAATACAAAGTGTTGAATGCATTTATTGTCACACCATAAAGAGACTAACCACCCAGGCACGCCAATCAAAATGAAATTTGGGTACCGAAGAACATGTGAGCGAATGAATAGAATAAGATTAAAATATGCATATATATAATATACATAGGAAAATGAGTGAGTGAGTCATTGAAATATTTAAGAGGTTAACATTAAAGCGAGTGGAAAGAATATAGTGCAGGCGGTAATCAGTGCTTAAGCTTAAATGCTGATACAAGCGCGACAATAATAAAAGCCGATGGTACATATTAGTTATTACTACACAAATAACTCAGTAAAATAAGTTAATCTAAAGGATTTAATCAAACTCATTGTTAAGAAACCCAAATGTATGTGAGGTACTACACTATTTTGGCAACCAATAATCTATATTTTGTTGAATAAGTGAAGATGCATAACATGTTCTTACTAGTTTAATGAATGAAAAGTCCTAAATACTGATGAATTAGTTTAACACCATTTAAGGGTAATACCATAAGCAATGATCCCTTAAAAATTCCTTATCATAAAATGTTTGTGCAGGCCATATGTTATAGATTTTTCATAGTCGTAATGTAATACAAAGTGAATCATTGAACAACAGTAAACTCGTCATTTGATAGTCCGATAAATATTTCTCTGTTCAATCAGTATCTCAGCATGGGGATCACATTTGTTAGCCTCAAAAGAGAAAATACTGAAGTCAAATCTAGTTATTTAGGCTATAAATGTATTCTCCATTTCTCAATATTTACTAAACTACACAGCCTTTAAATGCCCTAGTACAACCAAGAGTAGATACACAACTGTTGTTTACAAAATTGAGAGGACGAAAAGCATGTGCTGATGCTTGGACTGGTTTGGTGGAAACAGAGAGTCCATCTAGGTGAGCTGGAGAACAATGATTCCAAACCATTTCTGCACATGGGCTACAGGATCCTGATGGAAGGAACGGCGTACGAAACTATAATTGGTCAATGGCTTCGATTAAGTTTTTGGATCCAAAGCTCGAGGAGTGGCCTCTTAGAAAGCCAACTACTTTGGTTCAGTCACTCGGACAGTATCCCATCCCACTCAAAAATACAGTAATTTGTATGGTGCATAAATATTTAGGTGCCCCATTTGCACTAACTTTTATGTTTCCCAATAAATAATAATAATAATAATAATCATATTATTTACTCAACGCTAACTTTGTGTTTTCCAATGAAATATTCAAAATAGCACAACAGATTTTTTTCAGGTATGCATTTTTCTCGATTAACAACTTCAGATTATGAAAGTAAGTATATCGTGATGAGTAGTTTTACACATTCACCTTTGATTGTTGTCATGTATTTCTATTTCAACTGTCTACGTAATTTATATATCTCAATATACACAATCTACGCATAGAATAAATGAAATTTGACTAGTATTGGAACCTATGATGCATGTTTCATCCTGCTTGAAACGCCTAAACTGTACATAGTTGTATTCAGAGCTAATGTTCACTCTGGAACTTAAACCCTGTACCGACCAACTCAAACGATAAAACGTCATCGACTTAGCTTCTGAGTTCAAGTGGCCGCTCATTTGCGTACTTAATATGAAATATAATATCATTTGTAATTGTCGATCTTTAAGACTGAAATTTGATTAGTTTTTGATTGACAGAAGAAGTGTGAATAGAAATTTCAGTCAAAAATATTAACAAAGAAAATAAAATCCAAACTATTGCATATTAAATCTACACATACACAGTGTTCTTATAATCTGATAGCAAGCAATACACTAAAAGTAATAATATTTAGAACTTCAAATCAGTAAAACTGTCATTAATTAAACAAAAGTATTTAATGACAAGTACAAACAATTAGAGAAATATAAATTACAGTAAACATAAATCTTTCTGCTTATGCTTATAAAATAACTTATCATGACTGATTTTCGTCGGATCAACGAATCAGTCAGTCACTTAGTCAGCGACAACGCAGAACTTCGTATGAATGTACAATATCAGTTTAGGTTATACCATACTGTGGTAGCACAGAGATGTCACTGTCAATTCAAATTCCATAGTCGTAGAAGAAGTAATAGAAGTATGAGCAGTAATCGGAAAGATTAAGGTTTGAAGATATTATTATTCAATGAGTGTAATCACATTCGTCGGATACATCCAAATCGATAAATTTCACGAAAACAAGGCGTATTAACAGTTGTCTACGCAAAATACTTCGGATTCGTTGGCCAGATACCATCAGCAACAAACTGCTGTGGGAGAAAACAAACCAGATTCCAATGGAGGAGGAAATAAGGAAGAAGCGGTGGAAGTGGATAGGACACACACTACGAAAAGCACCCAAATGCGTCACGAGACAAGCCCTCACATGGAACCCTCAAGGCAAAAGGAAAAGAGGAAGGCCAAGGAACACATTACGCCGAGAAATAGAGAAAGATATGAGAGGAATGAACAAACATTGGACAGAACTGGAGAGAGAAGCCCAGGACGGAGTTGGTTGGAGAAAACTGGTGAGCGGCCTATGCTCCATTGGGGCTAACAGGCGTAAGTAAGTAAGTAAGGCGAAATACGATCAAATAGCGAATAACTGTGATTTCATAGTCTAGGAATAAATAGTATTGTGTATGTATGATAAAGAATTTCGAAGATGAGAAAAGATCTCTTACTCAGTCAATTTATTTTCAATAATTCCATTTTTCAAACATTCATCTTCACATGATACAGCTGCTGATTGATCGAATTGAATATTTTGTAAAATATGATGATTATTGGTCAATGACACATCAAATTGTCTAAGTGATTGATTATCAACTGATGGAGGTGTTTGTGTATTCAAAGAATTCGGATCGTCTTGTAAAACATCACAAACAACAACATCATCATCATCGTCATCTTCATCGATAACAACCTCGCCATCATCGTCATCATCATCAGGTAACCATACAGAGGAAGCTGCTGTTTCAGATGCAGTTTCTTGATCTGTTTGTGGTAATTCATTGTTTACACTACTATTATTCATTTCTGTATGTAGTAGTAGTAGTTGTTTATGTGTTGGTGGCGAGCAGTCTTCACTTTCATTATTGTGTACTGTTGTTTTATTACTAGTCTCATTATCACAGTTATTATTATTATCACATAGTTTCTTGAAATTCTCCTCTACGAGTTTCGTCTCCTGAATATGATTTGCACCACTATCAACATGATAACTATGGTTGTTGTTATTTTCATGAGAAATGTCATTACCATTTGTGATTTGTTGAATGTCGTCTGTTTTCATACTGATGATGATTTGGTCATCATTATAATCATGATCATCAGAAATAGTTGACGATTGATCAGGTAATAAAGGTGAAATGATAGAAATCTCTGATTCATCATTATCATTATGAAGTAGTACTGGTGTAGTATGAACAGTATTATTCTTCTCCTCCTTTTTGATGACATCATTTTTGTTACTATCATGCGTTAATACACTTTCTACATGATTATCAGATGCTATATTATTGTTATTGACATGGACATGTTCGACAATGTTCAATGTTCTTCCATGTTCTTCCATGCATTGTTTTAATGAGTTTGATATTGAACATTGAATAGTTGTTTCATTGGTAGAATTATCAAATGAACAGTTGTTTATGTGAAAATTAGAATTCCATTGATTGATAAATTTATTGATTGTATAATCATCATTTGTTTTATATGTAGAATAATTATCCTCCTCCTCATCGTCATCGTCATCCGCATCGTCATCCGCATTACGAACATGATGGTTTAATGAAGATTGTACAACTGAAATGCCAAAAAAAAAACAGTGGAGAGAATAAAACAATGAATATATAAAAAGAGTAGTAGACTCTTCGGTTTATAAAAGTAAACTGATCTTAATTTAAACAACCAATTGGAAAACCAAGAAGCTCTTGACAACTGTTTAGTTCTAATATAAAAGGACCTCGTTCAAAAGTGTGAATTCAACCAGCGGATTTCGGATCTGATAGTGAGAGCTTTAATATTTACACTATGAAATTTGATGTGTAATGGTTTACATCTGCCTAGCTTCAATTAATTCGCCATATTGTGCTTATCCACTTGACAAGATGATTGATAATAGAATGTAACAGTTATTCAGCACATCTTGGTTTTCAATGGCTGTTAAAAGTGTAAGTTTATGATGTCAACGAAAGAAATTAAAAAAATCTCCACAATTTTATATTAAAACGAGATTATAATTGTGTTAGTGTACGTGTAACGGATCACTCAAAGTTTTTTTATGATAAAGAATATTCAAAGTATGAAATATAAAATTACATTAATTACTTAGGTTATTTACCCCTGTTAATCTCAATGGAGCATAGGCCGCCAGCCAGTATTCCTCTAACCAACTCTATCATGGGCTTTCCTTTCTAGTTCTGTCCAGTTTTTGTTCATTTTTCTCATGTCTTTCTCTATTTCTCGGCGTAATGTGTTCCTTGGCCTTCCCCTTTTCCTTGTACCTTGAGGGTTCCATGTAAGGGCTTGTCTTGTGATGCAGTCGGGTGCTTTTCACAGTGTGTATCCTATCCACTTCCACCGCTTCTTCCTGATTTCCTCCTCCACTGGAATCTCCTTTGTTCTTTCCCAAAGTAAGTTGTTGCTGATGGTGTCTCGCCAACGAATGCGAAGTATTTTGCGAAAACAACTGTTAATAAATACTTGTATCTTATGGATGATGACTTTCGTAGTTCTCCAAGTTGCTGCTTCATACAGTAGAACTGTCTTGACATTTGTATTGAAAATCCTGATTTTGGTGTTGATTGATATTTGTTTGGAGTTCCAGATATTTTTCAATCGTAGAAACGCATCCCTTGGTTTGCCGATTCGCGCATTCACATCTGCATCGGATCCACCTGATTGTCGATGATGCTGCCCAGATATGTAAAGGTGTTAACGTCCTCCAAGGCATCTCCATCAAAAGTGATTTGGTTGGTGCATGTTATGTTGCATCGGAGAATTTTACTGTTTCCTTTATGTATGTTGAGATCTACTGCTACAGAGGTTGTTGCTACACTGGTGGTCTTTTCTTGCATTTGTTGTTGCATGTACGATAGAAGATCCAGATCATCCAGTTGCATCCTGAGTGTCCACTGTAACCATGCTACCCTTCACATGTTGAAGTCTTCATAATCCAGTCGATTACCAGGAGAAAGAGAAACTGTGATAGTAAGCAACCTTGCCTGACACCGGTCTTCACCTCAAACGAGTTTTTCAGCCGTTCTCCGTGTACGATTTTGCAGTTTAGTCCATCATAATAATTCCATATGATGTTAACTATTTTCTCAGGCACACCGTAGTATCGAAGAAGCCTCCACATTGTTTTCCTATCCACGCTATCGAATGCTTTCTCGTAGTCGATGAATTTGATGTAGAGTGGTGAGTTCCATTCAATTGATTGTTCCACAATGATCCGTAATGTTGCAATGTGGTCGGTACACAATTGATCCTTCCGAGATCTATCCTGTTGATCTCGGAGTTAGGCGTCTACGGAGTACTTCGTCCTGTTTAACAATACCCTGTTGAAGACTTTGCCCGGTATTGAGAGAAGAGTGATGCCTCTGTAGTTCTCACACTTTCTGAGATCGCTTTGATTCGGTATTTTGATGAAGTATCCTTCTTCCCAGTCAGTTGGAACTTGTTATTCAACCCAAATCTTGTTGTCGAGAATGTGAAGTATTTTCGCAGTTGCTTCCACGTTTGCTTTCATTGCCTCTGGTGGAATGTTGTCTGGTCCTGCTGCTTTGCCGCTCTTGATTTGTCTGATGGCCATGCTTATCTCCTCAATTGTAGGTGTGCCAATATTAATTGGGAGTCCGCAGATGCTGCTTCGATGTTGGGTGTGTTCAGTGGAGCTGGTCGTTTCAAGAGTTCCTTAAAGTGCTCTACACACCTATTTCGCTCTTCTTCAGTGTTGCTGATTACTTTGCCTTGCTTGCTTTTCACAGGTCGTTCTGGTTTACGATAGTTTCCGGCGAGCTTCTTTGTTGTTTCGTACAATTGTCTCAAGTTTCCGTCCCATGTAGCGTTTTCCGCCGTCATTGCTAGATCTTCCACATATTTTCGTTTGTCAGCTCCGATGCTCTTCTTCACTTCCTTGTTTGCTTCCGTGTATTCAGCTTGTGCCTTAACTTTCTCTGCTCTTGTTCGGCTGACATTCACTGCTGCCTTCTTGTTCCTCCTTTCTTCAATATTTGCAAGAGTATCAACAGAGATCCATTCCTTGTGATGGTGCTTCTTGTGACCCAGAACTTCGTGACGTGTTGAAGTGACTGCCTCCTTAATCCCTTTCCAATTGTTCTCCAATGTTGCTTCCTCTCCATTGTGTAGATCCTGAAAGGCCTGGAACCTATTGGTGAGGGTTATACTGAATTCGTTCAGCTTTACAGTATTTCGAAGAAACGCCGTATTAAACTTCTGTGATGTTGTCTGCCCCGTTGTCCAGTGCTTCTTTAGTTTCAGTTTCATTTTGGCGACCAGCAAATGGTGATCTGAAGCTATACCAGCTCCTTTCTTGCTCCTTACATCCTCGATGGTCCTTTTGAACTCCGTCTGGAGCCTCTCTCTGGCTACTGCCGCTCCAAAGCCCGAATAAAAGAGGATGGTTGGGCACGGAGTTAGCGACCTCATCCCACAAAAAAAAACTAATTCGTTAAAAAGAAGACTCTAATCAGAAATTATAAAATAATTTTTAATTTGATAATTTAAAGAATAAATCTCAAAATTCAACTGATTTTAAATATTTCACTAACAGAATCCAACAGCTAAATAATCACTAGAATTTCACACATAATCACTGAAGAATCAGCAAAATGAACTGTAAATTATTTATTATGATGCATTTGAAATAAATACACAAACCACATGGATTTACCCTTGTCAGTTAGTTAAAAAATAACCACAATTGAAAAATCAATTATGAAGCCTATAAAATAATGTAACAAATAAACAAACAAACCAGTATATATATACACATACACATATAATAGGGATAAGATAAGAGGAGAAAAGAAAATAACATGAGGACTATAAAATCTGATGTCACAGTGTGTAAATCATAATAATCATAATAACAATTTACCTGAACCATGAAACTTGCTAGTGATATGCATATCTTCATTAGTGACATGTATGCCTGCCGAATGTTGCTGCTGCTGCTGATGATGATGATGTGGATAGTACTGTCGTGAATTGGATAACTCTGTCAACAAGTTCAAATGTTCATGATGATGATCATCATCATTTTCTTCTTTACTGAATGAGTGTAATTGATTTCCAAAGGATTTATGAAAAAATAATTGATTTTTTCTATTTCTATCATTATTATTATTATTATTATTATTATTATTATTATTATTATTATTATTATTATTAGACACTGTATGAATATCATTAGTGTTGTTAACATGACTAAAAAATGATGTTTCATTAGAATTGGAAAAATGCAAACGATTCTTCAATTTATTATTCATTTCATCTAGTTCACTTAAACGTGCTCTAAAATTGAAATCAATAGAAAAATGAGAGAATTTGTATTTGAATGATTAATAAATCTATACAAAATGTAAATTATATACTTGTTTAATAAATCTTATAGGATAATTTAAAAAAAGGATGGCATGATCTCGAATCCTGTAAGAAAGAAGCATCATTTCACTAAAAATACTTCAGGTATGGCTTCTTGACGAGTATGAGTTATCACGAAATTTAGGTCTAGCAGAATTTCCCCCGTCGACTACCTCCAACCACAACTTGTATGAGACACCATTTTTATATGTATATGTGTGATAGTTTACGATACTACCAAGATGGAGTTTAAATTTCAGTAAAGCTACTGAGATTCCATGGAACCTTTAAACCCAATAATTATTGAGAATACAGCTACATTATAACACAAAATGCCGCTAGAAGGGATACTAATAAGATGGAGTCTAGTTTCAGTAAAGTTAGTTGGATCCCATCTGACCTTCAAACCTAATGATCCTGGGAAGTACAGCTACATTATAACACAAAATGCCACTAGAAATATTTTAAGTTTTGTGTTTGACTAATTTGCTCATCATTGAGTCTACACACTCTTTACTAATGACTGCTTGAAAAGGATGCAACTCAGCCGCCTAAACTGAATCAAAGGGAATTGCTACGGATTAGAAAATCCATGGTTGAGAAATGATTAAACCAATGTGCCGTAAAAAAAACTATTCAGCAAATTTTAATCTCAAGATTTTCTAAAAATAGATTGTTAATTTGGATTTATCAGTAAATACTGTTTTACTGTTTAGAAATTTTAAAAGAAATGGACAGTATGTTTGTTGATTATCAAATAAGTTATTCACTTTTTTATCAAACGTATTTAAGTGATGTACTACTTATGGAAACTCCACATGGAGCCGCTTTTGAAGCCTCTGACGGTCCCATGCTTGGATAAAGGAGGAACGTTGGTCATGGGATTAGTGACTCCATCTCGCAGGAAACTAACTCGCTAAACAAAACGCATTGTAATATGCACTGTATTCATGAACATTTTCCTCTGTAACATAAACATGTATGGTTTTAATTTCAGACAAAATCATCGAAAAACTTGTGAGCATTCATCCTATCTTCTGTTTATTTGATCGAAAATTCTGAAAACATGAAGTTAGTGGTTTTGTGAAATATGTGAAATAAAGAGTACTTAAGATAAAATACCACATACGTTTAGCCAACAGTATGGTAACTGGAATCTAATAAAATAATTATTTAGTTCAGTGGTTTAAGCAGTGTTTTGTTCTATTCATGTCCAATATTCTTCCAGCATAATAGTTAGATCGAATCTTTCCAAATCACAACAAGAATCGAGAGAGAACAAACCTGTCAATCAGTTACAACGTAGAACTTCATACATGAGTACATCAGTTCAGGTTGCCATGCCGCATCAGTACAGAGACGCAGTTGTCAGTTCGAATCCAACAGTGGTAGAGATAGTAGAAGTATTAGCAGCAATGAAGAAGATTACGGTAGAAAGAAATGATTCGACAAGTATGATTCAGTGAGATAACTTATGAAAGAGAAAGATAGAGATGATAGAGAGAGAGAGAGAACAAATATTCGAATGTCCCGAAAAACAAAGATACAGCAGTAAAAACGTTACATCTTTTGCAAAATCTATACATGAATCTTCTAGAAATTTTGCGTTTAGTCCCATAGCTGTGATTGGTTGAAAATAAACCAGTCTAAGTATCCCGATATGAGTATAACCGCAGTTTGAAGTAGTCGGAATTCTATCCTATTAACAAAGCTATTACTTCAATTAGAGAAAAGGTTTCATTCCAATCTGATTACCACATGAAAAATTACTGGTCTCCAGAAAGTCTTGTACAACCGTTTGAACTTAGTTTACGCTTCTTAAAAGGTGTGCACACAACTTCACACATAACTGAACTTATGATCTCCAGGTTCTGTAGTGTGGGAATGACTGCCCAACTTACCGTGAAACTGTCCTCTCCACAGGAACATGCATTCAACCCAATTCAACTTCAAAAGCATGTGCATCCTTGTGGAGTCTGTCTAAATAAAATGAAGGTGAGAAGACTATGTTCTGTGGTATTGATTTTTCAGTGGGGTTTGGCCAAATGATATCAGTTTAAAAATTAAACACATTTTTAGTTTAAAAATAAATAATTATATTCAATAAGACATATATATATATATATATATATATATACATTGCCTACCTTAAATTTTCAAATAACACAGAACGATTTAATTCAGAATGATTCGATTCTTCTTTATTCATGCATACATCATCATTTGGCATTTTTGTGCTTGTATTACAACAATCCATTAATGAATGAGTTGATTTAGTGATATCATTATTATTGAATAAGGCAGAATTGAAATCTTGTTGAAAAATGGAATATGTTCCAAATGGTTTAATCTGTGCCGAAAAACAAAACCCCGAGGAAAATAAACAGAAAAAGAAAATTATAATTGTCGTTAAGTGATACATTTGTGCAAAAACCAATTGAAATATACATTTTATTCATTAGTGCTGGAGTGATTTTAGCTGATAGATAGTTCGTGGGTAAGAAATTTTACTTTATCGATTTTCAGTTGAATGAATATACTATACTAAAAAAAACGATTGACGCTTTATTGAAATACTCAACCCTTAGAAAAACTATTAGTTGATAAATAGAGACTGATATGTAAATAGCTATGGGTGTAGTGAAGGAGAACACAGGTGAGGGCAACCGAATTGTATTTATCTCAAATTACAGAGTTACTCAGTAAAAAATAGGAAAACCATATCGTAAACGGTTAATTTGCAAATCTTCAATCCATCATCAATCCATTGTCTTACATTTCACTTATTCATGCGTTTCATACAAAAATCCATTGTGTTCCCACTCTTCCTTCTTTCTTGATCTTCCCCCATCTTCTGCTGACAGACATTACGTTTACACTCGCGTCATATACTACTTATAAGTAGCGCGCACCATATGGGTAATAATAATAATGTTTTTAAAAGAGCCTACCTAATCGTATCAACATAACAAAAGGCATACAATTCAATATCTACTATTTTTTGATCTTGATTTAAATCGGGTCAATAGTGGTCTAATGTTAAATGTTCACATTAACATAAAATATCAGTAGTTGCTTGTTTTGTCTTTTTAACTTTTTACTAATCCTATTCATTTTAAGATTCCTTTCACTTAACATCATCAGTTGAGGTGGTTGGGACATGTGTTAAGAATGGCTAACCACCGACTGCTGCGACAAGCTATGTTTCGCAGTGTAGCAGTAGATTGGAAGAAAGCTAAGGGCGGCCAAACCAAAACATGGCAGAAATCCATAAAGTCACTGACAATTGGACTGAGTCATGTTGGTAGATGTAGGCTATCTGGTTGGGGTCCGTGAGACGATAGTCACCGATGGTTAGAGACATTGAACGACATGGCTCAGAATCGTTTGCAATGGCACAGGTGCATTTACTCCTTGTGTTCTATGAAACTCTACGCTTCTGAATTCCTCATAATCTCTACCTTTCTCCTTCTAAATTTATCTTACTGAATTATACTTCGCGAATCATATCTTCAATCCCTAATATTCTCCATTACTGCTACCACTATCGCTACCACTGTTGGATTTGAACTGACAGTTGCGTCTCTGTGCTGATGGGGCATGGCAACCTGAACTGATGTACTTACGCACGAAGTTTTGCGTTGTATCTGTCTGTCTGTCTTCACTTAACATGAATGACAATAAATAATAATACAAATTTAGTTGACAGACAGTTTTCATTGTCGATTGACAATATTATCTAATGAATCATAGAATAATTAGGAAGTATAATCTAAAACAACTATTTACCTTTAGTTTAAAAAACTAGTCTAGAGGATCTAAATGACTATTGGGATCATTGATTGGAAACGGGTATGAGGGCGGTTATCACTTCTCAAATGACCACACCGTGGAAGGTCTCTGGTTGTCAGAAGAGGCATCGACCTCGTGACTTCCGGAGGAATTTGGCTTTCATCATGAGATGTCATCATGAAGACATAACTCCTAGGGAAGAGTTTAAATAGTTTGAGTCATTTTTTCTTGATAGCTTTTTTTAAGCGAGTTGGTTTTCTACAGGATGGTGTCGCCCAACTCAAGTCCAACCCTTCTCCTTTATCCGGGATCGGGACAGGTAGTAGCGCCGCCATAGGGGCTCTAGGCGGAATTCAATAACTGGGAACGGATAACATTGTTCAAAATTGGTCACTAGAACACAAATGTGCTTATTATTTATCTCTTACTAGATACAGAGTTTTCGAATTATTGTATATCTATGATTCTGTGAGTTCATTCATTTTTCGAGGATTATATTCTTCAAGCCAAATATTTTTACGTCGATCACTGAAACTACTACTACCAATACAAGTACTAGTTTGATATTTATCTTAAAAATTTCATCTATCACATTTCTAGTTGATCAAAACTAATTAATTATTATTTGTTGACAATTAATTCTCTAATAATTTTCAACACTCGTAAGTGAACTGGTAAAGAATACTCTATTTTCAAATTGAAGCTAACTTAATTGAAAATTTTAAAAAATTCTTATTCATTCTTTTCCATAAATTAAAAAAAGTGATAAAACTTTTATTTGCATTATGGGGTTGTGGAGATTGTTGAGTTACTTTTTGAAATTACAAAAATGATCAATGTTTGACCAACATTAGAAACCTAGGAGCTCTGGATTATCGTTTTGTCCTGATATGGGACTCATCGGCAACGCGCATCTACGACTCCTACACCTCACAGGATTTGAACGCAGGACCTTCAGTCTTGCGCGCAAACGCCTAACCTCCAGCCCGCTCAGCTGCTACCTAACGGTGTTAATGTCTACCTTCGATCAATTCAAGGTCTTCAGCAACCTCATACACAGTTCTCAGTGAGCATTGCTTCACACCCGAACAGGGTTGAGAACTCCATTGATCACGACTTTTCACTGGAACTTGAAGTCGTGGATGCGCACTGCCTCTGATGAGTCCCATACCAGAACGAAACGACCGTCCAGTGCTTCCAGGTTTCTAATGGTGGTCTAACATTGATCGATCTACAATTTCAAAAATTAAAGCAAAACTTTTTATTCATAACAGATAAAATAAACTAACTTGATCAATGTGTGTATTGTGTGATAGACAATTGAATTGATTATTGTTTGTAAGAAATTCATTAATGTTCAATGTTGAAGAACCATAATTAACTGGGTGTTGCTGTTGTTGTTGTTGTCCAATATGAATTAATGGTTTAACTCCAATTAAAATTTGACCAGATGGACATCCTGTATCATTATTTAATATATGATACCAACCATAAATTTGATTAAACTCATTAGTAATATTATTATGATGATGAGTTGAATGAATAGGATCAGTGAATAAATGTGATAGGGTAGTTAAATCCACTGTAGCAATACCGATTAATTTTGGTATATGATGAGTATGATCATCATTGTCGTCATTATTATTATGATTATTATTATTCAAACCATCATCATCATTATCATCATCCTGTTTCACAGCCCAAACATAAAACATTAATCCCTATATATATATTTTTGTGTATAAAAGAGAAAGAAAATTTTCACATAAGAATATTGATTAATTCAAGTTTTTGTTTTACACAAATGTATTTTAATTAACAATCAAAAGATTCGAGTTGAAAATGTTCAAACATTTATTATTTACCGAAAACAATTACAACAAGAAAGGATTTTTAATTATCACCAATTTTGAATCTCTTTTCAAACTGCGCATCGGCTTTCGAATGTAGTAATCTAAAATATGGATTCTGTCCGGCCAGTTCGTAATATCAAGCGAAAATATATAAAAAAAGGGCTATTTTCTTATACGTTTAATCGGTGTCTGGGACAGTGAATAAATCTAACATTTTCTTTCTCTTTTCAAAACGTTTGTGACTGGGTTAAGTGTTATTATGGATAGCTTTGATTGGAAAGTATCGGATTGAATTCATTGATTGGCTAATAGTTTGGTTTCGGTAGCTAAAATCGATGTATAGCAGGAAGAATTCGTTCACCACAACCTGCGATTCTTCGGGGAATTATCGAAGGTCACAGAAGAACAGAAAAGTTTGTAATGGTGTTTGATTCTCTGAGCTAGTGCAAACAACGACAGGTTTAAGGTCAACAACAACCAATCAAGATCTAGGTTAGCAGAACAAGCTACAGGTCAAACGTGGCGAACTTCGAACGCTTCACTTCTATCTGAAGTTTGTGCAGATGATGTTATTCAGAAGAACAATGAAAGCTCCAATAAAGCACAACCTAAACATCCAGCTCAGAGAACCAAACACTACCACCATCATCCACCTGAGCTACAAATTTTCTCCATCATCTCCAAACAGAAAAGTTTTTACTCAGTTCATATCTCAATAATCGTGCAGACTAATAACCACAAATGAGCTATGAAGCCAGAATTTTGGATTTTCGAGGCTAAACAGTTACACTGGTTATATTGAGTTGAAATTTATTAGTTCAATGGTTTCCAGCTGCAGTAAAAATGGAGGGTGTGCATAGAATAAAATCAAGATCTTGGGCTCTATTCCATAGGCAGTAATGAGTTTGTACTACTGGAGGGTCTTAAAAAAATCATGAAACAGTTGTCTAATATCTCAAGATTTTCGAAGATAATTCTCTAATCAATGAAATGTTTCGACGCCTATTCTTTTATGAAATTAAAAACTTTCCTGAGAATCTACTGTGCTGTTCAAACGTTACCGCACAAATTGTTGTTGAATCTAGGGTCTCTTTATGCGAATTAGAGAATGTTTTTTTTCACTAATTGATTTCAAAAAACGTATTTTTGAAACATATGAACATTCTCGAAAGAATAACATCATTCATGTAACTTTTTGCTCACAACACCATCACACTGAATGACAGTATATCGAATGAAGCACTGTAGGGCAAAGACAAACCAATAATATAGCTTATATAACTATATAAACAAAAGGTTTGAAAGAAATTAATTATAAAGTAGATAAAAGACGTCAAATGTGACATTAGATTTGAAATAATTTCTCCCAATGGACTGGAGCGAAATTATTCAAGGAAGTAATCGAAATCAAAGTTAGCAATGATTTTCTTCAATACTTACTCCAGTTATTAGTTAATCCGATACTAGAACGTTAAACACTGATTTCATAGCCGTTCCCTATAAACCCCAGACTACTTCTACAACTCAACTTGAACAATAGAGAAAAACGCGCGAAATGTGATTTGCAGTTCAATTCAAAGGTCAAGTATGCATAGAAAATTATGTGGAGCAGCTCAGTTCCAGCTTGCTACCAGAAACAATGGAATTTTTGTTCTTATCAACCTGCAATCATTCCATTCATATATATTTATGATTTCCCAATGACAGACAGACAGACACACAGACACAATGCAGAACTTCGTACGTAAGTACATCAGTTCAGGTTGCCATACCACATTAGCACAAAGACGCAACTATCAGTTCAAATCCAAGAGTGATAGCGATAGTAGAAGTATTAGCAGTAATGGAGAACATTAGGGAGTGACTTCATGATTCGAGAAGTATAATTCAGTAAGATAAATTTGGAAGGAGAAAGGTAGAGATTATGAGGAATTCAGAAGCTTAAAATTTCATACAACACAAAGAGTGGATGCATCTGCGCCACTGCAAACGATTCTGAGCCATTTCGTTCAAGGTCTCTAACCATCGATTACTATCGTCTCGTGGACCTCAACCAGATAGCCTACATCTTCCAACATGATTCAGTCCATTTGTCAGTGACTTCATGGATTTTTGCCATGTTTTGGTCTGGCCGCCCCTAACTTTCTTCCAACCTACTCCTACACTACAAAACATAGCTCGTCGCAGCAGTCGGTGGTTAGACATTCGTAACACATGTCCCAACCACCTCAACTGATGAAGTTTCACTTCTTCATCTATTGACTTGCCATCCCTACCTATTACCTATTTACAAACGACAGCATTACTTATACGGTTGTCTCAGCGATGGTTTCCCAATGAATAAAAATGACATGCTATAAAATCATTAGTATAGATTTTTAATAATAATACATTAATAAAATGTATTGGAGGAAATAAACATTTTGTAATATTGAACACATTGAATGATTATTTTCCTATTACCTGACTACACGATGGTTGTATCAATCGTAATGGGATACGAATATAACGACAATAATTCCAATGTGCATATTCAAGATTTTTCACTTCCGGTGTTACAGCTATACGATTTAAATGATTGTTAGAGAATTTCGTGATATGTTTCCATAATATTTCATCTTGATTAGTAATACCAGTAATTGAATGTTTATTCGGTAGATTAGTATTTAAACAATGTTGATTATCAATATCCACAGGAAATGTAACAAATACAGAATAAGCTGTTGTTTTATTATTATTATTGTTAATATTCTTATCATTTATTGTTTTAAAGTATGGTTCACTGCTTTCACTTGATTCAACAGAATTACTAGATTTACTAATTGAAATATATTAGAAAATTAAAAAAAATAGTGTTTACTTTAACAAAAGAATTCAATTCTTCTTAAAAAAAACAGTTATAGTGATGTAACAGATATGTGAAACTCAAGACTAGACAGATTATATGATTTGTTCGTCAGCTGATATGCTTGAATACTACTACGAGTTCACTTTAGTCGGTAAACGGGACGAAAGCAGTGACTTAGTGAGACGATAGGCTATTCTAATCCGTTTGTCCCCGGTCCGGCTAACTATATCAAGAAGTCTTGATAAGGTGTAGAAAGTGTATTCTACAAACACCAAGAAAATACGAGGTTGACAAGCACACAAATCAAGCTTATTTATACATGATAGAGACGTCCTTGGGAGAGTCACAAAATACGTACTAAAATAGTCGATCAACCAATGACAGTCAAGGATTTTCCAAGTGGGAAATGGGAGCTCAAGGTCAACTAGGCAACTTATGCGCGAAACCATAAAAAATCCAAAGTTAGGACCTTTTCAATGTGAGTTCTGGGGATCTAACGTCCCCAACACCATATATTTGATTGGAGAAGATACTGTTTATGTACAAAATATTTATACATAATTCTCAGAAAAGATACAACCAAGATATTGACCGTCTTCGCTAACATCTTTTCTGGTCTTCAAAATACACTCTGGTTGCAGTATGCATTTTGATCTTCAGACACTTCTTTTTCTGGTAGTAACTTTTAGGCGACGTTAGACTGTATACTACTTACATGTTACTCTGTGATTAGCATCAATTATGAAATCCATGTCCTGGATTTTACTGTCGACCGAATGTGTTGAAATTTGTTACAATATTACTGCTTTAGATAGAGATAACCTAACAAAATGATTACGAATGTAGCGAACACTTGTTGAAAGAATCTTGCAATATATTGAAGTTTAATTACAGATTTCTAACCAAGTTCATGAATGCTTCCGTTATTCTCGTGAACTTTAATGGTTGTTAATGTACACGTTAGTCAAGGAAAGAGAACGAAGGGTTTAACCTGAATATTTATCGCATCAACACATCAAAGAATGAAATTTAAAAGGTGTGAAGTGGATAATGTAACATAGAATTAGACACAATGTACTGTAGATTATAAGAAATAAGATTAAAAAGAACTAAATGTGATGGGAGACGTAGTAAAACTGTGGATTGATTTTAACCTCAAGTATTCGATGAAGATATTGGGTGAACACAATTGAGCCAGTGCAACTGACTCAGGCTCATGGTTTCTGACCGAAACTCAAGATCATTTCTTCCACTCGTACCTGTAAGTAAAAACCTTTTAGCTACTAGCGGATGACATCATGAATATGTCCAAAGTTATCCAATCCAAAAAAAAATGATTTTAACCTCACATATCTCGTTCAATGAAGGTAATAATATTAAAAAAGACTATCATCAGATGCATATTAATAAGCATATAAACGAGATGCCCAATGTCTCATAATCAACCAAAATTCCTATTCTTTGGAAGACAGAAGTACATGATGGGTATTCTTTCAGTGTTATATATGTGCCACAGTTAAGAATCTCATAATTAGAAATACATAATTAGAAAATGGAAACTTCGGACAATATCTTGATTCATATACAATCAACAAATGAAATGAAATGTAATGTAATCATTATGCTTCAACAACTTACTAATTAGATAAACGTAAATGATATGCTTTTTCAATGATAATTTCCGCAGGAAATGTTTTATTCTTTATATCATAACCAATGCATTGATCATCATCGGTGTATAATTCACCGATTGAATCACTCATATTTTTATTATGTAATCGGTTATGAATGGAAGAGGCTGCTTTGTAATGTTTTAAATTCCAACCCAAATATCCATTGATTTCAGGTATAATGAATTTATTCATTTTACAAGTATGATATCGTTTTGACTTTTAGATAAGATATGAAAAAAATATAATAATAATAATGAAAATAAAAAATAAGACAGAAAATCAAACAAAATATTTTCAGTTGGAGTTTTAGAGGTTTGTGTTTTTTTACACATTTGAAATCATCAATCAATCATTGTTAGACCACCACATTAGAAACATGGAAGCACTGAAAGACGGCCGTCTCGTCCTGGTATGGGACTCATCAGAGGCAGTGCGCATCCATGACTCCTGCATCTCGCAGGACTCGGACACTGTTCGCGCACAAGAGCGAAGGTCCCGAGTTCGAAACCTGCGAGGTGCAATAGTCGTAGATACGCACTGCCTCTGATGAGTCCCATACCAGGATGAAACGGCCGTCTTTCAGTGCTTCCAGGTTTGTAATAGTGGTCTAACAATGATGGATCGATGATTTCAAATGTGTAAAAATATATTCAGACAGTATGGATAACTATTTTACTATAAAAAGGAATCCGTGATTGAAGAGATTAATGGTCAGCAGGTTGCTTCTAGTTAAAAAAAATGAGTCCACATTAATTAATGAAACATCAAAAAAGAGATATATGGTTGTGTAAAACAATTTGTCTCTTTTATAAATTCTGATAGAACAGTGAGAAGACGTTGAGTTGATGTGATGTTTTTACGCTATACATTTCGAACAATCTGATAACACATACGCATACTTGTTAAGGCATTTCATATGAAGATTAATAAAAGGTCAATTAAATAAAAGTTCAAATAGACATATGATGATAATTGTAAATGAAGGAGAGAGAAAATTAGCGTAATATAAAAAGAATAAGAAAGGGTAGGAAAATTGTTACTTTACCCTAGGCCACACAATGGCTTAAAGATTACCAGGGTAAATTCTAGGTTATGACAAATTGTCTCTGTACACATGAGGGAGGTTTTTAATTTACGTATAGTCAAGGCTTCCATAAACCTCTAAAATCATCCTTCAAGGTTATAACAGATAGTTCGAAATGTATGATGCAAATAAGTCACGTTTTTCGGATCAACTCTACGTCTTCTCACTGTTCTATCAAATTATATTCTTATGTTATCAAGTCCATGGAGAATTGCTCAGTTCAAAGATACTTTTACTCTATGGTTGGAGAATGATTGAAACCCGTGGGCACTGAACAACAGTGCAAACTAACAATCACAGAAGATCGAGCTGAAGACATTTACAGTTATCGGAGTGAGCAAAAAAGAACTTGTAACTTTAAGAACTAAACTAAAATACTCAGTTCCAGTGAATAGCATAAAATGAGCTCGGAAGAAAACTAGAAGTCAGAGAAAAATAAACAATATTAGTCGGTAAATTCACTAACTGCCAGGATAAGCTGTATCCAGAGGTACATAATTTCTAGCTGAGGTGAAGTTGCTCAAGATGTGCAGTGTCCGAGATCTGAATGTGATACACGCTAACCCACTAAACTGACTAATAAAGCGAGAAGAAAAGAATGGAATAAAAAGTGTATTTGGCTACGGAACAATATGTGTAAATATTCCACCCCCTTAGAAAATGAGCCCATTTCTTGACCAATAATATGCATTCATCATTTAACGTCGTCATAAAACGTTACAGATAATGCGTATTTATACATTTTGGTCGAATAGCAAACAGCATCGAAGTCTGTAACATTGACAGTTAAGACGACCAATAGGACGCAACATTTGGAGTGACATTGATAGTCACGACAACCAATAATAAGAAACAACATGGGAGCACGTGACATTGATATCTAGGACGATCATAAAATTGACCAGTAGGAATCAACCAATGGGAATTGACCAATAATTCTCTTAGGATATTGGATGAATATCCTAACACATACGTCAACCGGATCGACTGGAGTCCGTAATATCAACAATGTAAAATTACAACCTAATAGAAATAATAGATTCATACTCATCGAACAAGCCCAGTTGCAATTTGCAGTTCGTAAATAGATAGAAAGTACATTACATTTTGAAGTGGCAGATGCTGGGTTCAAGTCTCTGCATGAATGCTAATAAAAAGATGTAGGTATATCCATCTTGAATTACAATACTGCAACAATCCAAGTTCACTGGAATGTCATTATCTCTTACAGGTCTAATGATCATGACCTTATGATTGATTGATTTGAATGGTTCACACATGTATTTCTTGTAAAACAAGATTATTTTAACTGATAGATTGATAAAGCATTACAATAAGTATTAGTCATACTTTTATTTTATCAAAATCTTGAATTTATTGAATGAGAAAAATAAATTAACATTGAGCAATAATAAAAGTACAACTGATTCATTACAATTTTACATTACCCATAAACAATTTTCCGATTTTGAACCGGTCATTTCAATATGTACAGCAATCCAACTATCAAACAAATCCGGTGTGTTTGCACGATATAAAGGATATACTGGTAATCCACCATTGGCATTGATTCTATCTGTGCTCATTGATTGATGTTGATTATTATTACTCCACCACCAATGTAAACCAGACGGGTCACCATTTAACCAATGAATAGAATTACTATTATTTACATGTGATATAACTTGTGGTCTTGGATATACTAAATGATACAATGGAATAATTGCAGTGCCAATATGACGAGGTGCAGGAACTCTTTGAAATGTAATCAATAAAAGAAAATAACAACAAATGATTAATTGATTGATTGATTGGTTGGTAATTCACATAACTGAGTATCAAAATTTACACCATTCTGAAAAATGTATATTGATCGATATCAATCGACATATAATAACTAATTTTCTATTAGGTAATATGTTGTAGTTTGGCTGTTGAGTTTTGTATTTGAGGTTTGTGATTCATTTGATTAATGCCAACTTCATATTTGGCATGATCCGTTAAAGATACACTTTCTCGTTAACCAGGATTTATCATCAAACCTGTTCAATAGCGATTAATCTTTTGTGTATGATAGATATTTTTTACAATGATTGTGTTGGGGACTTGATAAAGGTACTAATTTTTTTTGATTTTATGCTTTCGTGTATGGGCTGATCAGCTGACCTTGCTTGAGATTACACTTCCCATTCGAAAAACTCTTAACTGTCGTTGGTTGATGTATTATTTTAGTAGGCTATTTTTTTGGTCTTCACAAGGACGTTTATTTCATGTATAATAAATAAGCTCGATCTGTGTTCTTTTCAACCTCGTATTTTCTGGGTGCTTGTAGAATGCTTTATCTACGCCTTATCAAGACTTTTGATACAGTTAACAGGGCTTTGGGACGCTCGGATTAGAGCAGACTTATCGTGGCATTGGATCATTTGTCTTCGCTGTCGTTTACCGACTAAGGTGAACTCGTACTAGTTCAAGAATATCAGATTAATCATCGACTGGGGGCTACCTACCAGAGTGTTATCATGTGCACTATGTTGTGATGATGGGCGAGTGAACGAAATCAATAGGAAGCTGTACATGTTGAACTATTAGACAAATTGTAACTCTTTCGATACATTTCTATCAGTACTAAAAACTTGAAAAATATTCGACTGTCTACTGCTGCTGTTGATCAATAATCAGTCAATGTAAAGAAAATTATAAAAACTGCAGCTGTTAGGCTTGTGGATCTGTATTAGGTACATCATAAGTGTAGGTTGAAAAAAGGTTACAGGCGACCAACATCAGACCGTACATCAGTTCGCTAAGTCGTTTCAAGAAATAAGGTCTTCATATTTGAAGCACAAGCAAGATGTTCGTATTACACGATTAGACACAGTTATATTAGGTAAGAATTAAAATTGATAATCAGATTTTAATTTCATTGACCATTGGGTGATCAAAGAAGTTTGTAATTTCTAATCACTTTTGTTTCAGATGACTTTTAATCATGTTTATTTTGTGTGTGTCATTTTATTAGATAAAAACCTTATTCTTCTAGAAAACTGTCTTTTCTCATGATATCCATTCACTTGAGACCTTACGCTAAGATTTGAGTCTCATTAGCAATGCTTATTCGGTCATAATTGATCATTGTATATTATCTATCAACCCGTAACAGTACACAATCTATCGACCAGTACAATATTCATTCATTTTATTGATCTGAAACCCATTCACTTATTAAGTCTCTATTCAAAATAGAGAAATCAGATGAAAAGACTTGAAATATGATGTTATAACCCAAATACATTAAGTAGGTGCCCATGAATTTGTTCAGCACAACAAAATGAAAGTCACAAGTTTAACATACAGCTTTAGAGAAGGTCAAACCACTGACACATATTTAAAATATTAAGACTAGTAGTAAATGAAACACAATGAAAATGTCAAATCAACTAGTGTGAATATTTTGGTATAACAATATTTATAAAATAAGACAACCAATTACGTTAATCATTTATTATTAAGTGTTACATAATCCAACTTAGAGGTTTGTTTAGTGGTTAGAAAACTTCAGGTTTGCTTATCAAGTCATTGAGTTCCAAACTAGGTTACATTTACACTATGATTTGATCTGCCAGCAGTAGTATCAACAGTACTAGCACAAACAATGACATCTTAATGCTTGATGCATGAGTGTTTGCTCGATGGAGGTGTATAGGAATCGTTTATTTATTAAAACGGTACTACTTAT